TTTTCTCATATTAGCGGAATGTCATTGTAATTTTATTTCACCCATTCGCCCTCCCGTACTTCAACTCCTCTGTAATGCGTTACTATAGCATTAACGTCGCGGATCGCGTGATGTTGCGCAGATATAATCTCGCGACAATTTGGACAGGGCCGAAAGTTATAAAACAAGTCGCAAATCCGCGAATTCGCCGCGGTTTATGAGGGCGGGATCTGCATCTGGCTCGTGGCACGGAAATCCTGTATTATTCATGCGAATAATCTCACAAAGGAGATTCGAGATACGTTGAGATCGGGCGGGGATCCGCGCTAAATCGGAACGCACCGAGCAGCCGATATTTTCGCGATTATTCGTTCGACGTGCCGCGCCGCCGCAATTTGATTCATCGCACCTAAGGTCGATCCTTATAGAATATTCGCCGAATCCCCCCGGGCGCGAGCAAGTGATTTAGTAAGGCGAGTTTACGGTGCCGTTTTGTTACCGCCGCCGCGTGAATTATACACGAGTCGGACTCCTCTCGCATTCGGGCACGTACACCTAATTCCCCATCCACGTTACCGCGCCTTTAAACATGAACGCCGCCGTGGCGTTACGTTTAATATCGCGTTACGCGCTTACGCAAACCGTAACGCGTTAATTAGTTTCGTAGTTTGCGCGTAGAACGCCGCGAAACTGTATCGGAGTAGGATCCTGCAGTTCCCGTATATAGATAATATCGTAGAATCTTGATAAGATTACGCTACATTTTTAATTTGACTTTTCGACCGGATAATTGCTGACTGCTGAAAAAATATCCTATTCTTCTCCGTAATATGAACCGTAATATAAACCGTAATATGAACCGTAATATAGTGAAGAAAAATATTTTCTTAACACACGTTTGCTTTTTAAAATCCTAACTCTTTGTTTGTATACGTGAGTCTACGGTGTCCGAGCCAAAATATCTCTTCGTAACTGTAAAACTTGCAAGCCTGCTAGAAAATATTAACCCTAGACAGACTAACTGGGGTGTTATGATAGGAAAGTTAGTTTTCATACCGAGACCCTAACCATAATTCAGTTTAGTCATCCGGCAGTCAACCTCCGTCATTCAGCGAGTGCGTTAGATCCGTGCAGCAGCTGAAAGCCGAAAAAGAAAATTGTTTGGGGTGTCCGTACACCCCAGTGAGTCATTTACGCTCGACATTTACCACAGTAAAGTATATTTCAGATTTTTTGTGAAAATCGGTAACGAAAAATTATACACTTTATAGCACTCCCCGGAAAATTCTACCCCTGTTTCATATATAATTGTTTAAGATTCGGTCAATTATTTCATTTTTGCTGTTCTTGCACAGCAACTGATTAAAACTTTGTAAAGTTTTTGTGGAGTTAATTTTACTGTTTCCATATACTTTTATAACTTTTGACTACCTTTCAAATAAATAATAATCGACAGAATCTGTTTTACTTTCCATTTCTTGCGATTTTTTCCATCCGACAGTTTTTCGTCATTTCCTCTACTTCAGATGTTCAAAGAAATATGTTTTTTTTAAGAAACGAAAAAATCGCTTACATGCCCTTGAAGGTTGTCTATTCGTCTTTCAAAATCCGTTGGAAATTTTAAAATCGGTGAATTTTATGAAAAACTACTGCATTTTTTATAAAAATAGTCATTTTAGCCCAATTTTTGGTTCTTTTTCTTGTTTTTCGAAATTTTTTTACTGTTTTTTTTACTACCGCAAATTGATGACTACTATCGTCTTCCATATTAAACAACAAACAAAATTATCTATTATAAAGTTTTCTAAGAACATTCTGGAAAATATTATACACGCGGTACAAGTTTGGAGTATCGTGACACCCCAGTGAGTCATTCACGTATGAGAAAAATAAGTTAGTCTGTCTAGGGTTAAATAAACGATGTTTATCTAAATGACTATAAAATCGTCAACTACAATGTAGGCAGACATTTTGTGAATTTATTCAGATTTTTTTTAAATACTTCAAAGTAGAGAAAAATAGCGTCAAATGTAACCAGACCCACGTATACACTCCAAAAATGCAAAAAAAAAACGTATATAGATGGAGGACTAATTATAGTCAATCAACTACTATAATCGCGTTTTATCGCAAAATCCGATTAGGAGTGTGTAGATCAACCGCATTATACTTCTTTATTTTTTATCGTATCCGATTTAAGAGTATCTCTTGTTCGAGTATCTTCGACAGCTTCGACATTTTGCTTGGAAATAACTAGGTCATAGTCTGTGTATTATTAAGTCCAATTTGGTCGATCGATTCTCCCTCGTCTGTTTTTTTGCCTGTCGTTTCTATCGCGTCTCACCATGAGGAAATGGTACGTCGGACACTCGATCTCGTTCGTAAACTTAATTGTAAGCGGGGCGGAATTGCTTTCTGGTGGTCCGTTTCATCGATAGCGCTCAGATAAGGGCAGTTTCGCATAATAAAAGAAATGCGTGAGTGTTATCCCCTTAATTATTCCCAGCTAAATGTAACTTTCAGGATACATACATTTTCCTGACTTTTTTCCTTCGTTCGGGAATTTTAAAAATTTCATATTAATCCTCCGCGTTGGCAATTCAAGGAATATTCAAAACATTTTGAAGCATATACATATATCACGACTAGCGAGCGTAAAAGATTAAAATAAAAAAATAGCGACTTTTTTAGAGTTAATCTATTTCTCTTTTAGAAAAATATTTTTACCCTAGCAGACTCTAAACTAATTAGTCCTTCTAATTTTTGCATAAATAGAAATTAATGATTCTATTTAATTTTTTATGACGTTATTACTTCAGTGTCGAGTTGATGCAATTTATATCATTGAAGCAAATATAAAACATAAGGCAAATAAGAGTAAAACGCCGATTAAATCGAAAGATATGTTTTATATTAAAAACCTTATGTTTTATATTTGATTGCATATCTGAACAGCGTAATATATTATTAATTTTCACAGAGCAATATTAACGGAAGACTATTAATCAAGAAAAAGAGAAAGAGAGAGAGAGAGAGAGAGAGAGAGAGAGAGAGAGAGAGAGAGAAATGCAAAAGCAATAAATTAATTCAGATATTTTCACTCGAGGAAGCGTTACCTTTTTTAATTAATCCTTTTTTTTCTATTGAGCGGGATGTAAGTGCACTTTTTTATATTTGCCTGACAACGTACACGAGTAGAAGCTCGAAAAATATTCAGAAAAGAAATAACGAGAGACGAGCGGATGTGGAAGAACTACATCTTCGCGGATCGCTCGTGTATACACGAATGAAGTACATAAGGGCTGGTGTGGGTCACCCTTTGGCTTTGCTGTGATGCAACCGCGGTGCCGTGAAGCGAATCGAATGCTCCAGATTCGGTCTCTTTGAATGAAATCCGTAAAGGACACGATGAAAAACGCGAGCATTTCTATAAAAAGAACATTCCTCAATATACAAGGATGAACACCTTAGCATCAAGTAACTCGCACTTTCGCGATTGTAGATCGTCGTCCTGATGTTTAACGGTTATCGATATGTCTTACGTGGCGTTTATCTCCTTGTACTGTCGCTTACAATACGTTCAGAATTTCTCTCTTCTTTTCTCGTAGCGATCGAAACCATCTGTTCACGTAACGTACGATTTGATAAATTTTGCAAATTTACATTATTTCACAGCACAAAAATTTTATTTTATCTTTATTTTTCTTCTTTGCGTCAGGAAGAAAAATTTAAATTTTTTGTGAATTTGATCATTTCTGATATATTGTATGGATATGCCAAAAATATTCAATGAATTTTTATGTGCATTACACTGCAAATCTATAGATCTAAGTGTGTTATTTTAACTGAAGCTCTTCTTACACATTTCTTGCCATTTTAAATCACGTTATTTAACATGGTTGAACGTATTAACTTTTAATTTAATACGACTAAATATGTTAAATGACGTTATTTGACACGCAAGTGACATGTAAGAAGAGCTTTAGTCAAATGTGTCATTTTTAGATGTTTGTGCATGTAGAAATAACACTTGGATTTACAGTGTAGTTTTGAGATTCAAGCTTCCTTTATTTTAAATTACAATCGAGTGTTGTAATTTATAATTAATCTACAATTAATTTTTATTATTTACGATTATAAAGAGCGTTCTAATTATAAACGATATTAACAAATAACAAATTAATAATAATAAATAAATTATTACCGTGTACTATTACGACGAGCGAAGAAAAATGGTCTTCATAAATTAGAAAGGTTGTATGCAGAAATGTTATCTTTGTTTTGTTATCGAAAGTATAATATTTCCTGACGCGAGAATCAAGCAATTAACTGTTATCTTGCATTAAGATAAAAAAAAGACTCTTCATATTAAACAAATCACCGTTAATACGCCGAAAGCCTAGATCCAACGAGGCTGTGTGCTGTTCAAGGATCTCGACGAGGTCGAGGACCTCCGCGGCTCGCGTCGAACGGCAAAAAACGCGCGCGCAAACGCGAGGGCATTTCCGATACTCCAAGCGCCAAGCTGGTGTGGCACGCATCGCATGTTTCACGATTATGTACGCCGCTCGACGTGCACCGTCTGGGAGGACTTTCATTGAGCGGACAAGCCCCCAGGCACAGATTCGAGAGGGAGGAAAAAAAAATTGTCGATACGGGGCGTAGAGGATTGGCGTGCAAGTGGGATGGGGGTTGGCTGGTACCGAGGGGGGAAAGGGGGGACGTGGTTGGAGGACGAGGTTGGACGTGGTACGGGCAGTCTGCCAGGAAAGAGGACGGGGGGTTGAGGAGGAATCGAAAGGTAGGATGAGGCCCGCACGGCAACGAGGACGGGGACAGACAACGCTTTTGCGTTGAGGGACGATGGGATGCGGGGGAAAGAGAGCGCGAGAGGAAGAGGAAGAGACAGAGAGAGAGAGAGGGAGAGGGAAAGGGAAGCGGAAAGGCAGGGATCGGAGTTGGCTCTGGGATAGCGGGATAACGGATGGGTTGATTGATTGGGCACGCTTGTATTGTTTCAGGAGGAAGCTGAATCGACGTAACGCTCTACGCCAGGATGGCCGGTTGGCCGTTCAGCACCGCGCTGTTGTTCAGCATCCTCATCCTTGTTCGCGGTAAGTAAGAACATGAGAGGGTTGTGCCTCTAGGCCGGACGAATCCAATCGGATGGGCCGTGCCCATGCAAATGATCCGTGTGCCGTCCCGTGCGTGCTCGTTACGATGGTAATTCGGCTGCGCTCTTTAAAAAATCAATTTCTTTGGTTTTAAATCGCTCGGGTTACCATCGGGCATCGGATTCGGCTCCAATGGTTGAATTTAATGAATCTTTGAAGTGGGAGATGGTAGCCCGCTAGGAAGCAATGTTCTCGTGTTGATAATTAATGTAGAATCTACTGCGTCACGGATATTACGTGAAATAGAAAACTGTGCCGCAGCGCGACAGTAATTTATGACAATTCGTATGGTCAATTAATGAGAATGGTTTGAAAATAAAAAATTTATCTTGGAAGCGCGTGCTTTTCAAATTCGTCAAAAAAGGTGAAATCGTAAAATCTGCCACAATGACAAAGCACTGCACCGGGAATTACGCATTCGCTTCTCTACGGTGGTGAACGTAATACGCCTATTAGATCACACATAAAATTTAACAGTGTTATGTGACTGTAGTTTGTATGGTAAGCTTTACGTGTAATCCACGTCACGGATGCGCATACGGCTGCTTTCGCGCGGAAATAAATGCGCCGGCCTATTACTTGCGTTCTACAATTCAAATGCATTCGCAACGTGCTTTCTACATTCTGTAACGAGATTCGACTAATTTGTGATTACATCAGCGTGTGCATGCTTCTTCCGCATCGCGGAAATAAATGCGAAGCGTGTTATGCAAAACATCCGACGAAAAATGCGATCTCTAAGATGTCGTCGTTTGTGATATATTAGACTCCTAATACCTTATTAAGCAAAGAATCATGAATTATGTGAAAATCATTATATGAATTATACATCAGGCGTATTCATGGTAAAAAAAAGATAAGAATTTACAATAACTAGGTGACATAAAATTGTCTAATTATTTTCAGAAAAATGTAGGAAAGTCTGTATATTTTCTAGGTTGTTAATATAGATAGAAACTATAATATATAAAAATTTGAAGATATTTTATAACACTTAAACTAAATCTCAGAATACCTGCTGAGACACGAAGGATTAATTCGCGACATATTGGAGATAAAAATAAAGAGAGATAAATCCAGATTAGATTATTGTTCGCAAATAGTTAAAGACGTAGGATGTTCTATTTTGAGGGAAATGCGTAGGTTAGCAGAACAGGAAAGGATGGAAATACGCGTCCAACCAGTCTTTGGACCAAGAATTTGATGAAACTAAATTTAAATTATTTAAGAACGCGTGTTTTTATCATTGATTACTTACGATGCATTTGAGCATTTCGCAAGCGCGCTGCAATTGATGCACCGTGCGAATCGTCGCAGTTTCGCGCAAACGGCTCGTACCAGGCTGATCGTATTTTTTCCCCCTCGATTTTTGCGGCCGTCGGCGAAACGGCTCGCTTTACAGACGCTTACAGGCGTATTCGTTACCTTCCAAACACACGATGCCGCCCTCTCTTTCGACACGAGCACCGGTTACACCGGGTGCGGCCGCGAATTCTCTCTCGTTTTGCGGGGGTGCCCCCGAAGTGTCCCGGGGTGTCCGATTGATTTTCTGCCACTTCGCAGCCTCTCGCGCGTTCGCTCGATGTCGAGCGCCCGGCGCTCGAAAGCGCGTGACGAAAGCGGATCCGTTGCGCCGCGCGGCGCGGCGCGACGCGGCACGACATCCGTTTAAATTATGGCCCCGGCGGCAGTTTCGTTTATTCCGGAATCCATTATCCCGCTGGAGCAACGGGGCAACTTTCAGACGCAATTTGTAACCCTACCTCCGCCGCCGTATAGTTACTTCTCGTTCGCGCGCTTTGTAATCGAGAGGGTGTCTCGCCCTGCCGGGGTTCGCGCGCGCACACGTCGTTTCCAACGTCGCCCAACTTTAGCCATTAATAACTTTCCTTTTCGTCGAATTTCCTGATCGTTAAACTGGCACGTCCGCCCGGGCGTTTCCTCGATCATCGTAACGGCAAGGACCATTCTCGGGGAAGTTGCGCGTCTTCGGGATCGAAGACGACAACGTCAACGTGCTTCCTTGGATGTTACACTCGCTTCTAGATCGCGATATAGTTGAGCACCCCTAACTTAGTTCCTTGTAATCTTGCCAAGATAAATTAACCGAACGTTGAACGGATAGAATTATATTGGCGACTCATTTTACAATATAACAACAGTCGCTTATTATTTAAGATTTTGTAGATTTGTATTTCATTTATTTTATTTAGATATTGTATTTAGGTAATTTATTTAGATATTGTTGTATTTACAAAATTATGATAACAGATTTGATTAATCCGAGTGTAATTAAGCTACACACGGAAAACTCAATTTTGTCGGAATGTTCGTTTCTGTATTAATTGCAGTACGTTGCAATTATGTCAGGGAAAAAATGTCAGTCAGCTGCATCGAGATCGCGTTTACGCGCTGCGCCTCTGCGACACAGTGTTCCCGGCCACTTCGGCCTCTGGTAACGTTCCTGTCACTCGTAATAGCGAGCTCGACTTTATTTATTGCGCTCCTATAAACGTCCCGAGCGGCATTAAACCGCCAATAAATTCAGCGTGTTTCATCGAATGACGATCCAACGTCGCGTTCGACAGGGTCGCAGATGTCCGCCTAGTTACGTGCAGTGTTCCACGTGCCGGTATTCATTAAATTTCTCATTTATCGGTAGTTTCCAAATCTCACGTTTCATTTTGCAGTATTGAATGTGAATTTAAGTATCGCGACTTAAACAATCCGGAAAGACAGTTCAAAAAAATTAATTTCTATCTTAAATTTAGTTACGTGAGATTCACGATTTGTAGATAAACCTTTAAACAAAAATTCTCCGAGACGCCGAGAAATTCTTCTCAACTAAATGGAGTAAGTGCAAGAGTATTATTTTTTATTTCCTCGCTTACTTTTTGATTTTATAAATTAACCCATAAAGACCGTATTTATTTCCCGAACGTCGAAGTAAAAAATTTTCAGCAATGGAAATATAATAATATTATTAATCGACTCTACTGGCCAATTATAATTGTTAGGACAATACGACCATGGTTTGGTACGACTATCGTCAAGACGCTTTTTTAACCAAAGACCTTATAAATTGATGTAATCTTTGATTTCAATGCTGTTTATTATTTGACTAGCAAAGTAAATATGATTTATTCTGTTAGAAATTTTCATTATTTAGCAAAACTGAAAAGTGTCAGTTTTCATTATTTGGAAGACTGATAAGTGACAAAAGTCGAGTATAAATTTCTAAATGTTTATTAAGAGAGAATACAAATGTAGAAATAAATGTACTTTAAAGAATAAAAAGTTTTTTTATTAAGTTCAATTTTTGTCTAATCAGTTTTATATTTGGACATAAATACCTGCATATCACGAGTCAAATGTATTATGCGGTATCAATGGGTTAATAAGGTCTATGACTGTCGATTTTATCGTTTATTCGATTTATTCAATAAAACTGTTCAAAACGATACAATCTGCGATTTAATCAGCGATAAGCAGCAGCGTTTCTCTCCCGAAAATTTCACATCAATTCATATCTCGTCTCGATTACGCTATATACACTGTCTTTAACGATCAGACAGCAAGCATTTCATTCTCCAGACCTTGCAATATTATTCGCAACCGCGAGGTAGATACTTGCAAAAGTTCTCGAATCGACGCCTCGAATTCGTGTTAGTCGAACCGCGAAGTCTATCTTTCAGCTCTTCGCATCTTCGCCACCCTTGCTCGCCGAGTCTGTTCGCGCCGCAGTCTCTCTCTCCGCAGCGCGCAGGTGTGAGACGTACCATCGGACGAAGAATATGAGAAATAAGAGACGACACAATCAGCGGGAGGGGGAGAGATATGGAAGGCGTAAGCCATTTCTGAGAGAAGAATAGCAGGAAAAAAAACGGGAAAACGACAAACGGAGAGAAAGAGAGAACAAAGAGAAAAGAGACGGAGGGAGAGTGCGGAGTGATTTGGGAGGCAGTCGCGGCTCGGCCGAGAGGATAAAGGATGCTTGAGGGTGAGAAAAGAGAAGGAACGGGATCGGAGAAGACGCGGAGAAAAAAAAGACGAGGAGGAAAACGCTCGGCTGTGTCGTGAAACGGCGGTGTTAGGTGGCGACGCGACGCGACGCGGTGGCTTGAGCCAAAGTTGGAAGCGAAGGTGGTGTAGAAATGGCGGTGAAGACGAGGAGGCTCGGAGGGAGGGGGGGGGGTACGAGACCGCTTTCTTAAAGATGCGAGTCGGGGCACTTGTTGCGTCGCGAGGTGGAGGGCGAGGAGAAAGTCGACTGCGAAGGCTGTGGAAAGAAACGATCACCGTGGGGGCGGTGCGGCACTCACCCGGGGGTTGCGGGAAAGATAGCCGGGGTGGCGAAAGGAGTGGGGCGGAGAAAGGAATGAGTGCGAATCGAATTGATTCTCTTTCACGGGCCGGCATTACTTTTCCTTTACTGCCGTCCGACTCCTGACCGGAAAGCTCGCGGCCACCCTTTTCGCTTTTCCGACCCCCGCGTTATTTATTTACCAACCGTCGTGTACGTGGGGGACGCGTAAAAGACGTTACGTCCTGTCCCGGTATTCGGCACCCACTTACTCGATTTGCTCGCCTTTCTTCTCCGTCTCCCCTTCTGGTCATTTTGAGATACTGAAGGTACTTCTTTCGACAACGATCGAGAGTGTCGGTATAGCGATATCATAAAGATAATTATGAAAGGTGATTCCTTATTGGAATTCCTCGCGAAACACCTTACGCCCCCGATCGATGCTCAAACGAGCAATAACGATTCACCTGGCATCGTTGATGCGGAATATCCGGAGTAAAGGTTTACAGCGCGGTGCAAAGATTTCTCTTTAGGCGTTTATGGACCTTTGATCACTTGCGCTTTAATGCTTGAGAATTATCTACTTAGCATTGATCGAGTAATTGTCTTTTTTTATTCATGCACATTATTCTCTGAA